TGCGTTATTAAATCATAGAGCTATGAATAAGGGCCAGCTTCATTTCTTTATAACTGAGGGTGCTGGAAAACGTCCATTTTTAAGGCGTATTTTTTATTACAGGGATATGTATATAAGCAAATAAGCAAAGTAAAATAAAGGTGTACTGTACTTGTATGCGTTTCATTTTTGAGCTGTTGGTATTCAACCAAAGTTGGTTCATGTTTTTGAGCAACAACTATGACGTAAACTAGAGCTCGGGTCAAGTAACGGAAATAAGTTTAAGAACTGGGATGGGGGCGGTTTAGGTAACACCTCCAATACAATGATAACCATATCACGACATGCATCGAATGAGTCTGGTGACATCGAATGAGTCTGGTGTCTGGTGAGCCTGGTGAGTCTAGGTGTCCCCGATTAGTAGCCTACTTGTGGCCAGCTAGAAGATTTTGACACGTTAATAAAGTTGTTCTTTCATTCATTCTTGAATCTAGAGTACTTCGCGTGACTTGCATACGATGCAACGGATAGAACCCATTCAGCATGCCAGATGCACGTGCACAGGTTAGACTTTCAAGTCGAGGCTGTAGGTATGAGACGCTGCAAGTATTGGTGACCGCAACTATTCAGCGAGTATTGTTGAGTTCTGCTGAGTCAGAGTATCTTAGACCCGGCTCATGGCTTAAGTACTGATTCATTTCGCTTGTTTAAAAGAACATTTAAACAATTTATTTAATTCTTATTACGAATTGCATTGTAAACATTTGATGAAGGTAATAACCCGCGCCGTGGGTAAATGAAATATATTTATTTAATTAAAGCGGCATTCATGGTGTTAAAGACATGAATTATATGATCCCGGAAACAAAGCAATTACCATAACAAGTTCTGTGCCAATCAATAGAGATATTTACATGAGGCGTATATTCAGTAAAGTGATCCCAGGCAACGAAATAAAGGACTTTGCTGACACTTCTATTGTTTACCGATCAAAATAAACCGGGTGAAAAAGAATACGAGCGAATTCCGACCAAGTTAACCTTGAGACGCCGGACGTATCACCTTTAATACTGCACGAATCTATTTTTCTAACTTGTTCTAGAGCGGTATTAGTGAGAGTACTGAGTAAAAGTCTGTTTATACCTTCATTTCATCATGCTGAGAGAACAAAGAGATAAATCATGGAAATCAAGAAACATTATCCAATCGATCTGCCATCCAAGCCGTCTGTTATGAAATTTCTTCCCGGAATTCTGTTATGGATGATTTTAAACGGTCTAAATCCCCTTTAGGAAGATGTCTGGAGAAACGCCAGTGGGGCAGTGAGACTGATATTCCACAATCTTCACTGCCACCGATTTCAAGCAACGACACGAGAAAGAACAATAACTACAAGTAGATACCGAATAACAGCAGTGGGAAGCAATTGTATTCCAACAGACCACCGACCCCCAGTCCGGGTAGAAACCCTGATTCAGTCTTTTCTTTCGGTAGAACATCCAGAATTTCACCTTCTAACTTATCACACAGACTCTCTCTCAGCTTGGATTTAAGGCCGATTATTGGTGGTGTTGACCTACGCCGGCACAGCGCTGGATTTGCGGATTCTTCTCCCGAGGTTGAATACAGTCCACGACTGTGTGCACGAAGTCTTCCACCGAGTCCAAGATTGCATCGTAACCAGAGGATTCACCATCGGAATTTAAGGCGAATGTCGAGCGACTGTGAACAGGGTGACTCAAAAGAAGATCGCATCATAAATTGGATACGTGATGTCTCAGAAAAAACTCAAGGTCACTCTCAAACTTAAAGCTTTGACGATGACCAAGAAACTTTGTTTGATTACCCTATGGAGAAAATAATAGTGTTAATGGCCTTCCTGTGATTCAAGAAGGGCGAAAAACTTAGCAATCTTTCAATGGTTTTGATAAAATTTTGCACTGGGGTTGAGTTAATTGCTTATATGAAATCCCTACTGAAGTGGAGGTCTTTGGAAATAAGCTATCAGTGACGGCGTACCGTTCTTAGAAGGATAAATTAAACCATTTCTGTGTGTCTGGGCTTTTTGTGTGGCCGGGATTTGGCCGTATCTTTCCAATTATAAGCACCTGTGGCTTTTCGCAAACCATGGAATTGAAACAAAGCTAAATATACCGGCATGTAGTGAGCAGAACACCTTGACAATTGTGTATTGATCTAGTGAAACCCTTTTTAAAATTCATAAGGTTACATAAGTTTGTTACAAAGGAACAATTTTGCTTTTGGCTTGCTAAGTATGTGTGAGCAACTTCTGCCTGCTGGAGTCAGTCAGAGTTTTTCTGCAAATTGAGTGTCAATTCGAACTGACAACGGCTTTGAAGCCTATGTATGGAGGCAACAAAAAATGGTGATGGTTCTTAATACACAAGCTTGTACCTTGTGGTCTATACCATGAAAATCGTTTACCATTATTTTCACTGCTTTACGAAAACGAGACCTTCGAAATCAAGACAACTTGGAAATAAAATTCCATCAATCAAACGGTACAGACAGCGCCAGCTTTCGCCTGCTGGCCACCCTTGCGATCAAACCGTTTGATTGATAGAATTCCACGGAATTCTGTTTCCAAGTAAGAGTTTGGATCTCGGAAGACGGTCGTAGTCAAAACAGAGGTAACAGTTCCTTCAGGGGAAATAACTTTTTAGAAGGTGTGAGTATTGAAAAAAAGATTTAAAAAGTCATTTTGGAGCGAGATAAACTGCTACGATATTTAGTAACGGTCATGTTCATAGTTTGTTGTTAATTTTCATCGTCTCACCAACCTATTTTTCTGAAAAGGGACAAAAAAGATATCAGAAAATAACCTCTTTTTTTACTCCAAGAATACAGTCCTTACTTCAGTGAGCCGTCAAATGTAGTTCAGTAATTGCATATCGCATTTGCCGGGTATTAAAGCCGGGTTTCATGCCTGACAGGAAACGAGTGAACGTCACATTCTGCCTTCGTGCTCTCTGCAGGCATGCTGGTGTTTAAACATTTACAGAAATTGCCTTTACAAGCAAGATCCTCGTTATGACGGCTTGTAATGACATTATTTCTTATTTTTACCCAACCGACGGTAGGCGATGGGAAAGGAATCAGTTTATTGGCATGGCGTGATTCAGCCATGTGGGTGGCGGAAAAAATCACATGTACATAATTATAAATTATGTGTGTGAGATGATGCAAATAGAATATTGGACGAAAACTGAAGAATTCTATTATCCGCGTTGTCGTTTTTAAATATTTACAAACATTACAGTTCTTATAATTTAATATTTTATTACGTGCAAGCAATTGCAATATCTAAGGTCAAGACGCATTTCTAAGTCATCTCTCTGCTAGTAAAGAATAAAGATTTATCTTGACAGCTAAATATCATCTTTCGCACTTAACCACGATTCGTTATTCGTTATCGGGGCTTTTTTTTAGCTGTCGACTGACTTCTCACTATAAAAAGTCTTTTTAGATCTAAAATCGATAATCCCGGTGGCAAGAGGTCGCGCAAGACCTATTTACATTAAAAACTTAAAGCCACTAATGTAAACCGCCTACTGCTGATATACTAATTGTTTTAATGTGAATACCAATTTCAAAGGTTAAGAATCAAACCAATTGAATAGCGATTCTTTGAATAGTTTTTGTCTTTCGGTATCATGGATGAATTTCAAGTTCATGTTTCAGTTTTGGTAGAATAAGATAAAAAGTTATATTTTTTTCTGACCTTTTTTTTAAAATTGTTCTTCTCTGCAGTTTTTTTTTTGTCATTTCTGTTGAAGCACTGAGGCGTTATTTTAACAACATTTGCATTTTGTCTTAACAAAAGGCCTAATGATTTCCAAAGCTGATCAAAGAGAAGGAATTATCCATCACTCCATTTAATAAATTAAATAAACAAAGGATTTTCTTTCTATAACCGTGCAAAGCTTAGCACGGTCACACTGAAGGATTTCATCCATCGCAGACTCCACAAGTAAGAACCACCTTATAAAGAATAATAAAAAGTACTACAAGAAAGTACTACTCAGGAGCTTTCATTTGAATGGTCACACTTTAGGATTTCATTCACAGACTCAAAAGTTAGAACCACCTTGTACAGCATAATAAACAGTACCACAGGAAAGTACTGCTCAGTAGCTTTCATTTGAATGGTCACACTTTAGGATATTCATTCACAGACTCAAAAGTTAGAACCACCTTGTACAGCATCATAAACAGTACCACGGGAAAGTACTGCTTAGTAGCTTTCATTTGAATGGTCACACTTTAGGATTTCATTCACAGACTCAAAAGTTAGAACCACCTTGTACAGCATAATAAACAGTACCGCAGGAAAGTACTGCTCAGTAGCTTTCATTTGAATGGTCACACTTTAGGATTTCATTCACAGACTCAAAAGTTAGAACCACCTTGTACAGCATCATAAACAGTACCACGGGAAAGTACTGCTTAGTAGCTTTCATTTGAATGGTCACACTTTAGGATTTCATTCACAGACTCAAAAGTTAGAACCACCTTGTACAGCATCATAAACAGTACCACGGGAAAGTACTGCTTAGTAGCTTTCATTTGAATGGTCACATTTTAGGATTTCATTCACAGACTCAAAAGTTAGAACCACCTTGTACAGCATAATAAACAGTACCACGGGAAAGTACTGTTCAGTAGCTTTCATTTGAATGGTCACACTTTAGGATTTCATTCACAGACTCAAAAGTTAGAACCACCTTGTACAGCATAATAAACAGTACCACAGGAAAGTACTGCTCAGTAGCTTTCATTTGAATGGTCACACTTTAGGATTTCATTCACAGACTCAAAAGTTAGAACCACCTTGTACAGCATAATAAACAGTACCACAGGAAAGAACTGCTCAGTAGCTTTCATTTGAATGGTCACACCATAGGATTTCATCCACAGACTCAAAAGTTAGAACCACCTTGTACAGTATAATAAACAGTACCACAAGAAAGTACTGCTCAGTAGCTTTCATTTGAATGGTCACACTTTAGGATTTCATCCACAGATTCAAAAGTTTCAAAGAACGATCTAGCACTGCATAAATGACCTTATGAACCTTTATTGACCTCTTAATTCACCCTCTTACGTACTTCAATTGCTATATTCAAGAGCGCCTGCTATATTACATTAAATAAAAAAAATTAAATAAATACGTTTTCTTTAACAAACTCCAGTTATAAAACCCTGCAGTACAACGGAAAACAAAGTTCAACATGATAATATCATTAAAATAGTATTAACAGGATGAACAATATATTCCACGACAGTATTCTGGTTGTCTTACTAGCTTTATATACAAAGTATTCTGTTCTTTTTTTTTTACTAAGATTTACTTGCGTACATATTTTGACGCTTTACGGGCTAAGTATAGGTAAAGATTTGTATAAGGTATGACTATAAAACATTCCTTGTAAAACATTTTCCTTAGTTGGTCAATTTTGTCTATAAAATCTGTTGGCAGAGTTTCTTACTGTGCTTTTATTCTTCAACTTTTCATAAAACTAAAATTATTCTCTTATATTGGCCAGGAAGTGGACGAAATGGCTATCCGGAATTGAATTTGTAACCAAGTGGAAAATGTCAGTCTTGTATCTTTAGTCAGAGTCATAGTCGGGTGGTCTTGTCCAAGGCTGACTCCTGAACAACTCCGCGCCTAAAACAAGAAAGATAATTTGAATTTATTTGCTTCATATTTGTATACTTAGATTTGCCAATTATATTTTGCAAGGACAACTCAACAGCATGACGCCAATGACTGCGGGCCCTATCCCCAAGACAGATAGACCACACCTAACTGGGGGTCAACGAGGCCTCGCACGACGCTTTACATAAAAGTAGCACAAAGAAGAGAAGTGTAAAAGAAAAGCAACTTAGTCGATGTACACGTTGAGTCAGTTGTGAGTACAAGGAAATCATTCTAACGAAAGCTAAAGCCAAGCCCACATTGATTTACACACCACCTTGAACTCTTTTATTCTACAGGTTTAAAAGAGTTGTGTCACGAAATTCAGCCAAATTAGGAAATTATCATGCCCGTTAAATTAAGAGAAACATAAAAATAACCGCTTAAAACTTTAAAGGAAGGTTAAAATAACATAACAGATACAGCAGATGTCACGGATGGGCAAAACTGAAGAAGATTGAAACGGATTAAAATTAGGATTTTTGAAAACTGTTCAACCTAAAAGTTTTTCAAAGTTGATCCCTGCTGCTTGCAACTTCAAAAATAATGCTTAGGAGACATATTTGCTTGTCTCGGGTCCCTGATTTTGTCATTTACATGTAATTTCTTTTGCTCACTTAAAGTTCCATAGCGATTAAGGGCGAGTAATTGGCAAATTTAAACAAAATGAACAGCACTGCCGTGACACAGCCCCTTTAACAGCTTAAAAAAAATGTACCTGTACACGTGCACTTATCCAATGCCCTGAAGAATACAGGGCAGAAAAGAAAAAACGATGCATATTCCGCAGTATCCCAGGCTACGGGTTCTCTTCAAAATATGAACTAGTATATATGTACATAACTTACTATAGTGAGTCACTCTGGAAGTATTTCACAGTATATCACGCACAAGCATCGCGTAACTAGTATATACCTGGTCGATCTCTGACCCCTCTTGCATTTCCAAGGGACTGCGCCGAGGGTTTCAGCTCTGGGGGTGGTGGACGATTTGCTCGGACAGGAGTTATGGCTGCCTGTACCGCCCAGTCAGGGCGCCCAGATCTGCTGTTAAACTTGGTTCCTGCTGCTTCAGTTTCGGGTGCAAAATTTGCCTGAAATGTTACATATAACGAATGGTACACTTGATACACAAACCACACGTGTTCTGTTTTACTTAATTCGTGACTCTTAGGTAACAGTAAACTTCACGAAATATAGAACCTGTCAATGAATTTTGCATGAATAATAACCCTGAAAGAACGGGTTATGCTTGCCTACCGAGACTTAATTTGTAGAAAATGTATTTCTTTTGTTTCTATCCTGTTTCACCTGTTAGTATTTTTTGTTACATCGATTTTAATCCTCTTCTAAAGCACGTAAATCGAAATTTCTTCTCCTCTACCTGCATGCAGTGTCACTGTTATAAGCAAGTTTTCCAGTCGGCTGTGTTCAAAATAAAAGGATTTGAGTATGATCATACATAATGAACTACTGTAACAAGGCCACTGTAAGAAGATGGCTACCACACAGTCAACAACAAAAGTCGTATTCAGGACTACGCTCTCAGTAGCTGAGACAACAGACGATTATTTCACTGTGACGCCGCCGCTGGTTTCCCCGCGAAATGACATCTACGGACAACGCGTCACTACCCAGATCAGGGCAATGCTTCTGATTGGTTGAGGCAAATTTCCCTTCTTGGCACGACCAATGAGAAGCACTAAACAGATCTGGGTAGTGGCACGTCATCAGTAAGGAATATCTGCAGTCGTTCCTCAGACGCCATTTCGCCAGAAAACCAGTGGTAACATCGTGAAATGTCGGTTGTCTTCCCCGGCTATACTCTCCCGGACAATCATATTCCACCTACTCTAATATGAGCTAATATGAGATGACTCATGGGTTCCTAAAGCTTTTAACTGTAGTCTTACCGTAGCTGGCCGTATTCTTGGTTTGGTAGATTTAGCGGTTGTTCCCTTTTTAGGCGTCTGTTCGTGTTGATCACTGTGTTCTGTATGTGAAGACATATGGCAGCGTCTTGATACAAACAAAAACAAAAACAAAAAAGTGTCAATGTATGTACGGTTTGTTCTCGAAAACATTGTTTACAACTGAGTCAAGCACTAGGCTGGGTTTTCTTTCTGATGCCAATTCACAGGTTTTCTTTAAAGTTCAGGCATAAACAGGAGGCAAACTTTCGAGACTTCAAGTTGGGAGAAACGGAATGCCATTGCACCACCTTGACTTCTTCCACCTGCTCTGGCCTCCTTTTTTGTTTCTCTTTTGCCCCCTTCTTGCCTTCATTTCTGTGGGAAAAGTTGCTTACGCCGATGCTCCAGCCCGCATATGATTTTTCCTTTTAGAAAGGGCATATCTCCGGCCAGATCACTGCCCTTATTATACACACACCAGAAAATCTGTTGAAAATACATCATGGTTGACTTATAACCTCTTTAATTACGGTGCAAATCCCCTGTGAATGAGTTTGGGATTTTGTCGGACATGAGCAAGTTTTAGGTAGACATCAGGGCTCAAAAACGTTTGAGTTGTTGCCGGTCGTATTGACTGGCCAAAGAAATTTTAGCTCAGCCATGTCTCTCTTCTGACTGGTCAATAATTATCAAGTGACTGTTAAAATTATTATCGTTATAAGCAAACGTTAAGTGAAAAACGATAGTCATACTTGTCCTCATGACAGAAACCTCAGAGGTCTAATGGATGGAGTAAAAATATATCTTTTTTGCTGGTCACGTATTTTTAAATATGTCTTCTCAAAATGACCTGCAAACCGAACGTTTTTCTGGACAAATGGTCATCTTGGCCAGACATTGACCATTGTCCAGCCTGAAGTGAGAGCAAAAAATGGGCGCCAGGTTGGGGCCATAGGGCCCTTTTGAAGCACAGCCCTGTGAATACAATGTACTCCACCTTAATCCTTTAGGTCCCAAGAGTGACCAACATCAATTTTCTCCTAACAACATTAGCAGATCATCAAGAGTAAGGATTATGAGAATTACTAAACTGATGTGCAGTTGTAACACTCACCTGCACCCCCCTACATGTCCTTCAGTAGTTAGCCTTCTTTTAATATCATTAGGACGAGGATCTGGACCCCTCCAGGGAGGGACATCATGGCTTGCTGCTGGCTTTTTATTCGTCTTTTTAAACAGGCTGCCATGACTCTGACTACGTGATATTGTTTTTTCAGCGGGAACTATCTTTGGAGAACCTGGTGGTGACTGTTAAAAAAGGTTTTGTGTTTTAATTCTCATTCCTAATTATAAATTAATGATCAAGTTTATGAGAACCAAAGACCTTTTATCAAATTCTCTCAACCAATTCTGTACACAAATGTATGAAGTCAGTCTGAAGTGAAGATTTTGTATTTGGATATTGGGGCTTAAAGGATAAAGTGACCAATTTGTTAGAGGTGGGAGGCAAAACACAGAAAATAATTATGAGCACGTTGAGGTAAAAAATGGTGAATATTGGCCACTGTATAGATCGGGGTCAAAAGCTTACATTTCAAACATAGACCAGTACGAAGCTAGTTCCTAAAATGTCAGCTTTAACATTCTTTTATACCATGTACCATGTGAAAGGAGCAAAAAAGAGATGGAGCAGCTGCTATGCAGGCAATATATTTCCTAGATTAAAGAGAGGTCCCATTAGGGTAAAATCTCAAAGCGACATGGCCTTGAAACAGCAACATAGCACTAAATGAAATGGACACAAACGACATAAAGATGGATTAAATACTGTCAAGACGTGGCCTACTCAGGACTAAAAATGCAAAATGACTGCAATTGAAATTCAGACTGGGGGCATATGTACCTCCCTCCCTAAGAAGGTCTCTAATAGAATTAAAACTTTACCTAAAAGTGTGGTGTTGTAATTTGGTGAAATCTCCCTTATATGGACACCAGAGGGAAAGAGGTTTTTACTTCAAAGTGGAAGGAATTGTACAAAATTTTTCATTTGAGAACAAATCAACTGTCCCTGAATAAGATGTGTCCATATTGTAGAGGTAAGTTCATTATGAGATGTTTGATTGTCTCAACATTTTTTGGAGCTATAAGCTCTGAACAAGATAGCAAGATACAAGGGTGTCAAGAACAAAGAAAAAACTTGTTTTAAAATAAACAACAAACTTTTAAAAGTTATTCAAAATATAAAGGCCATCTCCCTGATAAATCACCATTTAGTGGATAAGAGTTGCACTACATATATACTAGATGAGGTTTTTGCAGCACATAAAGCTATCCACCTTATGTAAAAACTTAACTCAGGTTCAAACATCTGGCAGATCTTCTAGGCTTTTTCCTCTGAGGCTGGGGATATGTGAAAACAAAGCCTGCCAGGGAATCATAACCCCGCACCCGGACTATTTTTCAGTAATTTCATTTTATACCCAGAGGAAAACTCTGTGGAGGAGATAGTTCAATCAGGGTTCGAAAAACACCCTGCCCAATAGTTCCAATAATATTTTTCTTGTTTGGTAAGTACCTTTTATAGCTCACCTGCCCAATGGGCAAGAGACCAGCCATTAGTCATCTTCTAAGACAAGTGAATCATTAAGAAACACAAGCAAGAAGTGACCAAGGGTGGCAAAATGTGAGAGCTGCTTCCCCAAAGGACAAGCTGGAATTCAAGCTTTTTTAAGCCCTGTTTGAATACATGTTTTTATGCCTGCTTTTAGTAAATTATTAAAGCAAAACAAAAAACCTCTCCTCTACCTTAGGTCTCATGTACTGTAATCCTCTCACACACTCAAGGTAATGTCTCTTCCAAACTCCTTGTTCATAAGGAGTCGGTACAAATGGCAATAACCAACCAAACTTGAAACACTTTGGCATCCAGATCTGATCCAGTTCAGATAAATATTTCCAAAACCAGCAAACTTGTGCGCAGCGACAAAGACTTCGAGGATCCAGAAATGACATTATGTACACTGTTATGACTCGTGGGAGTTTCCGTGTGAAATCAACATGAGTTATAGGAATTCTTTCATCGATCAAAGAGAATGTGTATTGTAGTTGAGAGTTCTTGCATTTTGATATCAGGATTTCAAGAATGATTCTTCTTTGAGCATCTGACCATCTGTCAAACTGAAATCATGAAATGAACAAATTTAATGAGAAGGATTTTGTTTTTCTTATACAATACAATACAATACAATACAATGTTCTTTATTTTGAGAGGGTAGATATACATGATTAACCCAGTTAAAAACAAAGGTGGTAAGTTTTGAAACGTGAAATGAAGTGATTCAACAGATACTTTTATTGTGACCATAAAAGTGTTTGTCAGTATAATATGAGGCCTGTTGTAATCATTTCTCATACAAAACGCTGTAATTCGGTGGTTGTGACGAGTAAATTAGCCAGTAAATTTAAGTCAGAAAAAAAGAAAAAAAAGAAAGGTAACGCTGTGGTAGTTTATAAGATTACTGTTTAACAGCAAGTCAAACACTACTAAATACCTTTGTCAGAGCTAAAAACTTAACTGTAAAATTAGTAAAAGAAATCCATTACAAAAAGTAGGTGCTTTTAGTAAGCCCAAAGAATAAATAAATGATATTTCCTTTGTCAACGAATCCTTAACGTATGGAGCCATACGTAAGTTTATACACTTAGCCTTGTGAAGATGACTTTTTGAAGAAGAACAAGCGATTAATATAATATTGACATAACAGTGATACTGATGTGCTCGCGGTGTTCTGTACAGACGAGTTTGTACATGTAGCATGAATTTAAACTCACCCAGTTGCTGACAAGTTCTTTCCTTTCATCAAAGAGCTGCAAAATTAATTGTTTTTGCATTAATCTGTAAATCCAACACAAGAGGAAACAGTGTGTTCGAAAAACAGACCTTTTCATTCAAATCTTGTTTCAGGGGGGTCCAAGAACTTTTGACGCCTGAAAGCTGATTTTCAGCTGTTCTTTTTTCCTTGATTTTCGAGGCGGATGTGGCATTTTCTTTCGCCTTGAAGCTCTTTGTTTTAGCATATGCACTGGAGGTGAAATCTATAGTTCTAACAGACATGTCAAAATAATATTCTTTCTACAAAATTCGATGAAAATCCACTCTAATGAGTCGATCGTTGCAAAGTTACAGAGCAATCTTGTGTTGTCCAAGAAAACCGCTGACAGGTACAGTGTCTGTGACTGGTGGCTCAGGTAACACAACGACACAAATGCTAGCCCCAGTTTTCACTCGTCCAACCAGTAGAAACAAACAAAGATGGCGGACTCAGGTTTATCCGAAAAAGCAAGCTATGTACCCCGACCACCAGCGGTTTTGTTCTATCACAAGTCTATGAGTCAGTTGGCTCAAAGTATTTGTGAAAGATGCAGCCATGCACTGAAATCACCGATCGTAACACAGGTAGGACACGTTTGAGTCCCTGTCTACTAACTATATTGTTTCACCTGACGTTGTGGTCAATCGCGAGAGGACAGTGTGTTGATTGATAGTAACAGCTGTTTCGATCCATATCTACCCAACTATCACTAAATTATAACATAAAAAAGAGAAAATTCCAGAGGAATTTGTAAGAGGCGTGTGGATTTTCGATAACTGGAGTGAAATTTATGTCATTATTGTTTGGCCAATGTTCCTAAAAACACTTGACAAAGTTTTTGACATTTTTTTGACATAATTTTCAAGCAGATCCAATCAAAGTCCAAGACTTTTTATGAGTTTTGTCTTAACTGTAATTTGCCTCAATTTGGTACCCTTCCTGACAACTAAGAGACTTCTTCAAACAAGATATTCTGCCAGGTTCCCCGTATTGCATTTCACAAAATTCACACTTACAGGAGAAAGTAACAGGGCCTTTTACAGAGTGAAAGGAAGCAACTCCCTGCACCTTACTGTCGTTATTATCAATCAATCAATCAAAAACTTTATTTAAGTGTCTAATTCTCTAGCTTGCCGTCAGGGCTACTAATCGGGGACAGTACTTAAATTACTTATTAATAAGAAAATATATATATACATAATACCATAAGTTAATAAGATTTAACTATTCTAAAACTACTTAAAAGATACACGATATTCAATACGCTTCGAAAATACACCTATGTAATAAATAAGAAAAAACTGTTTTATAATATATCAACTCTACTAGTTATGAAATTTTCTGTTTATGAATTATGAGTCACACAGGTGGCACCCTTTGCATGGGCTATCACTAACCAATTTGTTCAGATCTTTTCTCCTTATATTTGCTTTAAACCTGCTTCAGGAGGTCTCGTTTCTGTCCTTCATACTCAATTTTGACCATAAAAATGGCCCAAAAAAATCTGGGGGAATGCTTTCCATATTTAACAGTTTTTACCCTTTGAATGTGAAAGTCCGAGTTCCTCAGGTTGTAGTTCGAAGGTGATGACGAGAAGAGTTCTAGTATGTTGTAAGGCAGTAATCTATTCCTTATTTTGAACATAAAGATAGCGATATCTTGTAATCTTATGTTATATAGACTCGTCATTCCAGCGTGTGTAAGAAGGTCACCATAAGGAGAGACGCGATCTTTGAAAACTGTACGTAGTTCTCTTTCATTAATTCTCTAGCTTGTTTCTGTCGCTTGCATGACAAAAGTGCCACACCAAGCTACAGTGTGTGAGATGGGGTAAAACTGCAGTTTTATATATCCGTAGTTTTGCGTTCATCGGGATTAGATTCCTTCTTAGTTTTTGAATTCCTCATTTTCTAACAGTTGGTTGTCCCATATTTTGTGTCTTTCAGTTTTGCCACCATGCCCTCCTGTACCCAATTGTTAAATAGGCTGGATGTTACTTTCCGAATTGTTACAGAATAACATCTTTACTTTACCATATCTTTATTACAGAAAGGACTTCTTCAGTTTCAACAGAGTGTAGAGCTCAGATCTGTATCATGGCAGCAATTCCCTGATGGCTGGCCAAATTTGTTTATTGAAAATGTGAAGCAAGATTGTGCAGGAAGAGATGGTAAGCATTGCCCTACAGAAATTCACCAGTTATGGAACATTTCTAGATTTTTTAAAACAAGTTCCCATGCTGTGACTGTTTTCATGTAAGGTCAGGGAAGGACTGCGTTTATTTATTTATTTATTTATTGTCTTGCAGATATAGATTTTTACTTTATTATCACTATTTTATTTGCTATACCAACCTAAATTAGCAAAGCTATTTGTGGGTATTCATTTTCCGGCACTAATAATAATACAATGTAAATAGTAATAATAGGTACTTTATTTATATAGCACCATTTCCAGTGATGCCCAATGGCACTTTACAAGAAATGTTCAAAATATTACATGATATGGAAACAAGAGAGGATGGTGTAAGTTTTATTTACATGTATAGGTTCAATCACTCCCTGTCACATGTGATTACATGAGCTCGTTTTAACCCCAATTTTTGATAAGCCCAGGCTTGCTTAATGGCTTTAAGGCAGCTATGCCACTGGTGACAGGAAACATCTGATTCTTTTTGCAGTCATCTTTTTAGGCAGTTTTCACTACCCAGAAGTTGTATTTGAACAGCTATCTATTCTTTACAAAATCCCGAGGTATGTTTATAGATACTGATGTTAATAGCAGATTTCAGTCTTCTACTTTGAATGGAATACCTGTAATCCTCCTACCATTATCAAAACAAACAACAACAAAATGAACAAGTACTGTACTGATGTCATACATGTACATGCTTTTTAGCTGTTTTTTTACAAAAGATGCTTGAATATCCAAGGTTTACCTGCTACCTTCCAAAAATTAATTAACTGTTATCAGAGGGATTGGAGTGGGCAGGGGGTACGGTAATAATAGATTATGAATAATTGATGAGTAAATGTACACTGTACATTTCAGGTTATTAGCAAGATCATTTACCGCTATTGTACCCTACTTTCCAACTGGGACAATGGAGAGAGAAGAAGTAGAGGGGCGAGTTGCCACTGCAAAGGTACATTGGGGAGGTGGCCATACCTTGAAAAAATGCTCTTATTTGACTGCTATTTACTGTGTCCTTCCACAGTGTCTCTTAACCTTCCGAGACAGACTCTGTGACACACTTCAGGGTTAAGGCAGCATGTCAATGAAAGATTATACCCACCCCTATGAATGAAGGGCTACTTTGTTTGAAGATTAACCACAGTGATTCACACACTTGGATCAATTTTGCACTAGACAAGAGAGAGTCTGATCGTAGTGTCTGCAGTTATTGTCATCGCAGGTAGTCAAGTGACATCAAAATAATTACAAGAAAAGGTTACTGTTGTGGTATCAATCTTGGTTAAAGTGACAAGCAAATTTGAGCTTACAAAATTAATAATATTGTAATATTTGTTTTCAATAAGTGCTAGCCTGCTTCGTATCTTGGTGAAGCTTGGATGTGTGACATTTCGAAAATGTGGTTACATAACAAAATCTCTCTTTTTAAATTTCGAATCAGCTGACCCATTTTTCCCAAGTAACAAAGTTGAGGTGTCTGTGCTATCATTAAAAAGTAAACCAATGGCTAAAAATGTAACTCACCCAAGCATACGTGTATTAAGAAAGCCACCAAGAACTACCTGAAATGAATCAAGTAAATTATAATTATTCCTTATATTTTAGCGCTTACCCCCATGTAATATTAAGAGTGTCAATAAAAAAGTCTCATAGATTTCAGTGGGCCACTACTTCGAAGTTAGTTGTGTAGTGGGAGAGCAGAATAAACCCAGCTGTATTCATGGCCATTTTGTTCCCTTGCATAGTTCACTTGATGAATGAACACAAGTGTAAAGGGTCTGTTCCTTGTTTATTCTGTTGATGGCCTTAGATGTTTTTATATCTTCTCTTTGAAATAATGGACTGAAGGAGATTGATCATTTAGAGTAAATTGATACTTTTTTGATACAATATTTTTGTTACCCTGGCCCCAGAGGTTTTTCTTCTCTCCTTACTGCTTTGCAACTCATTGTCTCCGCCTCGCTGTTCGCTCTCTCTTTCATGAACAAAAAAATTCAAGAAAAGCCTCTGGGACCAAGGTATATTTTTGTGGCAAACTACAAAAAATGAAAAAAACATAAGGTGAATTCCAACCAAAAGACAACATATCTACAAATAAATATAAATATAAATATCTAAAAATAACTTTTATCATTATCTTTTTTGCCAGACACTTGCCATGCTGTTGTCTGCCATTCCATTAACAGCAAGAGGCCCATCTCAGATCATGGTTTTTGACATTCATGCTCTGCAAGAGAGGTTTTATTTTACTGACAATGTCATCCCCAGGTAACTGTGACAGACTGTGAGTATACAAATTTAATTGGAATAGACCTTACTACTGCTTGGTAATTAATGTTTGTTGCAGCCATGTTTCTGGTCATGTGACACTTACTTTGTTTGTCTTGTCATTAATTATGCATTTTTAAGTATGCATAAATGGGATGAAATTTTTAAGTTATGTAGTTCCTCGAGTAATAGCCAGGGGGCATTATTATTTTTTCCACACAAAAAAGGAGTGATTATTCGAGGGAAGACGTTTATTCGAGGGAGACAATTATTTCAAATATTCCTCACTGGAAGACATGCCCTAAATATTTTCTTTTATTATCCCATTAAATGCAAAATTGATCACATCAAATAACTGAACATGGGCTTTTTAAGTTTTCCAAATTTGGTTCCTTGATTAATTTTTAATGTCAATTTCCTTGGCGTCCGAGGTTGAATTGTCAGTAATCAGTTTAATAGCTGGATCAGGCTCCACTTTAACTAGACAGGGAGGGTATAAAAGAAAGACAAGATGGCGAGAGGGGTGGGGGGCGATTATTTGAGGGAGGCGATTATTTTGAAATATTTCCGTTTAAGGGGGGCTTACTTAATAACGTACTCTTGGTCTGATTATTTCAGTTTATAAATTAGTGTAACGTTTGGTTTCAGATTGGAAACTGCCATACCCTTACTTCTTCGTGAAATAACATTGCTGAGTCAACATAATGACATTAGTATCGCATTTCCAGATGACGGTGCCTTCAAGAGATTTCACGCTATGTTCAGTTCATTCCCAACCATAACCTGTACCAAGCTCAGAGAAGGAGACAAAAGAATTGTCAGAGTTAAAGATGGTAACATAACAATTCATTCACTTTATTTGATGGTGTTTTCTAGGAATATCAGTGTGCTCGCCCTCTTGTGCATTAGCCCGCTACAAGTTCGCCTTCTATATGTAATTTAATGTTATTTAGAGGGCCACAAATTTATCATTTTTTTCATAACTGTCACGTGTTTACCCTCTTTAAATAAAGGCGTTACCTTACCTTACCATTTCCGAGTTTGCCCTGTCGTTGAAACAAGACCAAAGACCCCGAAAAATCTGCTTGAAGCGATCTTCGGTACAAGGTGAGAAGGGTAGTTAAAATCGAAACAGTTGATGGATCGTCATTTTATGGAGCTAACTCTTTACCCGGCTTATTCATCATGGGGCGAACTCGATTTCTTACGCGGTTTACTATTACTGAGGGGCTAACACAATATTGGGGGAAACCACTGGCTACCATCTCGAGAGCTTGATTTTCCCTAACGCGCTCGATAACAATATGATTTTTCCTTCCGAGCTTCCTGTACCTCTGATTGAAAAAAAAAAACATCTTTCTTGTAGCTACTTCTTATCAATCTTCTCAGTTGTTAATGAGCACTGACGGGCCATTAAACCGCAACATTTGGACATGTAGTAGACTACGAGTAGTCCCTAATTTTCCCTCAGGGATAGTAGAGCGAGCGAAACGCGAGCGCGCGTGATAATTACCCCATGCGAAAAAAAGCGAGTCACGCGCGCTCGCGTTTCGCTCGCTTTTAGTCTACTATCCTTGAGGGTTGATTCCACTGTCGCGTGATTTTTACGTGCGTACGTGCGTAAAATTTACGTTCGCAAATACAATAGGGGCATTGTGTGAAAGGTCGTACGTAAGCGTAAAAGTGTAACCTCGCTCAACTTCACGTTTAATCTCAACACTTTCTATCTTGCCTCTATTTTATTTACGTGATTAAAATTTACGTGCGTTAACGTGCGTGGCCAAAAACGCGTCAGTGGGAAATCAACCTTGAGGGAATATGAGGGACTACTCGTAATACGTACGTGTAGAGTAATATATAGATTTAGTTGCCTCTTTATATTTTAAATCAAACAATGAACTTGTAATCCACAACCAAAATCACCCATACGTCCAGCCGGTTCTCATTTTTAGTGCGAGCTGTCAGTGTGGTCGAGTGTTTGAATGAACTTTAATGGAGGTACGTCTCAACATAATAACGAATTTATTATCATTACTTTTTGTTATTTAATGGTTCCAGCTATAACGATGTGTAATCTTATAAAGCGTTTGATACGTGGGACATTTCTATGTACTCCTGCAAGCGATGTTCATGAACGCTGAAAACAAACACCACGGACAAGCGATTAAAATTGCAAGAGAGACTACTAACAATCAATAAACGAAATATAATTCGGTAAAACATTTACAGAGACAACAATTTTCATTCACGAAGACAAGTATTAAAGTGTCTCTAAAAATCCTGAGTCTTTAAGCTTTAATAAAGCTTAAGCTTAAGTTTATTTTGTTTTACTTTCAGCCGGCCTTCCGGTGTTTGTTTTTTTTTTTCAAAGATGAACTCCTCGAAGCAAGAAAATCACTCAAAGTTTTCTTTCTACAGCCAAATTTATAACTAAATATTCTTCGGAACGTTTGTTTTCTATTTGCCGTGAAAAAAAAATCTGAAGGCCTTTTAAAGTCCTGTAAGCTTATATCAAACCTGATACTAGATCAGATCATTGACTCAAATCTTAACAAACGTGCAAAAACTTGCCGCATAAACTGTGCTCGACTTCATGAAATTAGATATAACAAAAACAAACATCAAATACAATAATTACTCAGGCTTACCATTCGAGATTCAGTTCCTGAAAGATATCAAGGAAGGCCATAGTTGCTTGAGACTTTTAAACCCTCTTACGCATTGAGCAAGGTGAAAGACGAAAACGATGCCATCTGAAATCGGATTACCCAATTTTAACAAGCGACGCATTTCTCAACCAAAAACCCAATAAACAAACCAGCCATGGATAACAGAAGACTCTTGATAGCAGCTGTATTTCATTTTGTACATCCAGTGGAAAAAGACAGTTCACAAGTTGACACAAAACTAGCTCCGCCGCTAACCACTCAAAGCTTCAACGAAATACCGTAAAATTCCGAAAATAAGCCCCTCCATGTATAAGCCCCTCCAAATATAAGCTCCCCAAACCCGTAACGCAAAAAAGCCTCCGTTAAATCGCCCCTCCATATATAAGCCCCCCCCGGGGGCTTGTACTTGGAAATTGCCCTCAAATGCAAAGTAAAACAAAGCAAAAACGGTAAATTTCCCTCCAACTATAAGGCTAGTCCAATCGATTTTGGAACGCAAATTTCCCTCCATAGATAAGCCCCTCCGATTATAAGCCCCTCCAAAAATAAGCCCCTCTAAAAGGGCCTTTGAAAAATATAAGCCCCGGGGCTTATTTGGAATTTTACGGTATACCCGTAGCGCGGGTGAGTAAGCCACCGAATTGGCTTAATACCGTGATAATTAGTCAGTCAGCAACCTCCTTGACTGCAAAATAGTCGATTTTTTCTTAAAATCGGTTAGTTTAGCGTAGTTAGTTGAGAGAAAGCGTCTCTTTTCAGTCTCGCCCTCCGTTTTCAGCCTCGGTCCAGACCTTTTGTTTGACTGCTCGCGCGTACTTGAATACGCAAAAATACGGACTGTTTTGCAGTCTAACAATCTCTCTGCCAATCGCACCTGATATTGCCTTCTACTCTAATAGGCGATCCTTCAGGACATCACGTGATCATTGTCGATGACCTTGTAATGACAGGAGGAACTCTGGTTCAGTGTGCTAAAGTAAGGACAGCTTACGATTAAGCTCTCTTTTGGGTATTTATCATGCTAGTGGCGTGAAAGCCGCAAAAGAAAGTTTTAAATTTTGTTGCCTAAAATTCTGCGTTCAATAAGCTTTGATATAGTCTTTCCTTTCATTGCATTTTTGCCGGGTTCTTCGAAGAAATCAAATGGCAGATCGCCTTTAAATTATTGCATACCCACCCAGTCAGATCTGAGATTTTTAGTAAGAAACTGTACGCTAACTAACTAAACCGAAAACGAATGTTACCACCGGAATACCGCATGTAAGTGTAGGTTACGCGTAGCAGCTTGCAGCCATACTCATCTACCAGTAGGGTAATGTAAGGGTTGACGTAGATGAAGTTAACAAGAAAATAATAGCTAATGACTGGGTTGGCAGCTGCTTGCAAAGCCGAAAGCCTTGTCTGATAGCCCAGGGCTCGTGAATTTTGCTATCAGGCTAAGGAATTCTGCCCGGCGCGGCTAAGTGAGGTTTTTTGGGGAATTTGAATTACAGGAGAAATGTAATCAATCTTGCTCATCAAAAAAAGAACAAGGTCCAAGCAAATGAAAATTACGTTTGGGCTAGTACATGCAAGCTATAGCTTTCTCAAATGGCAAGCTGTAAGACAGACTTTCTTTGCACCTTTTAACAGTTTCATTTGGCCTCGAAGAAACACTCCCGCTTGTTTCCAGTAAAGATTATCCCAACACAGGATGCTGAAGTCAGACAAATTTTTCATTGCTTATTTTGCAGGCATTATTGTCTTCTGGCGCGGTTAAGATCAGCGCGTACGTAACACACGCCGTGTTCCCCAAAGAATCTTGGAAGCTGTTCACTGATTGTGACGTCAAGTTTGACAAGTTTTACATAACAGACTCCATTCCACACGCCGCTTATATTGCTCAACATCCTCCATTTAAGATCCTTTCCCTCTGCGATTCCATTTCTGAAGCTTTGTTGGGTTTCGACTTACTTCAGAGTTAAACAGACTGTTAAACGTACTTCGAAGGTAAACCGTGCTACTAATTCGTCCACCCAATTTCTTTCAAATAACGAAATTTTTAAAAACGCGTTCAATTGACCATGTATCAGAATAAGACTAAATGGTTTTGTTAGATATTTATAGCCGCTGTAGCATCTGCCACTCCGGTGTACATATAATACAGTAGACTCTCTTTTTACGGACACCTCTAAGTAACGGGCACCTAGAGTTGGTCCCTGCTTTTCTTTACTCCCTTTATTTGACTCTCTATAAGACGGACATCTCTCTAAGACGGCCACTTGGTACCGGTCCCATAGATGTCTGTCTTAGAGAGAGTTGAGTGTATTCGTAACGTCCCAGTGGCTCCAAAATTCATTTATATTTCGCCACATGTTTAATTAAACATACCATTTACAGTATAACGCTTACACCAAAACACCACAGGAAGACCATCCCGCTTCATTGCGTTCCATGCTGAGGCCTAACAAGGACCAAATAGCTGTCCATATCTGCTACTTGTCGGGTGAAATGGTTTGACACCACCATTCACACGGAATTGGCTACATCGCGGAATGTTGGCTCTGACGTCATTGTGCGGCGTCCGTACGTCTTTACCCTTCAACATGTAAGCGATTATGAAATGTCACTTTCAGTTGCATGCCGCGTTAATTTTTTTGGCAGGATATTGTATGGAAACCTGCGGTTTCTTGGCGGGAATGGCGTGTCCAAAGGTGTAAGAGTAAGCGTTTATTGTTCCCTTCCACAAAAGCTTAATGTAAAAAGTTACTAGATTTATTGTTTGAAGAAAACGGTTAGTTTCTTGTGGGAGCTACGCTTTTATAATTGGCTAAATTTTATTTTTAATTAAGACAGATTTGAATCTAACATTAGCAAGGAAATCGATGTTAAAGCAATTTTAGTCGTACCTTTCGTTACGACCGAGACAAAAAAAAATCAGTTACTCAAGCATGCTTCTGCTGCCGGGGGGAACGAAGCAGTTTTCTGGTTAAACCAGCCAGAGGTTGAAAAAATTGCACGTGAGCCGTGCCAAACATTGATGAACATGTGCAATCTCTGATTGGTTGAAAGGACAACACGCTTGTTTGTAAAAAAGGTGCAATTCGTGTTAGATCTCGAATGTGTACTTTGAAATAGTTTATTTAGATAACATGACGCATATTGGCGAGGTTATAGTAAACAGTATAGGCCGCATACCGTATAATTCCGATATTAAGTCCCTCCATGTATACGCCCCTCCCAATATAAGCCCAACAAACTCGTAACGCGAAAAACCCTCCGTCCAAATATAAGCCCCCCCAGGGGCTTGTACTTGGAAATTGCCCCCAAATACAAAGTAAAACAAAGCAAAAACGGTAAATTTCCTTCCAACTATAAGGCTAGTCCAATCGATTTTGAAACGCAAATTTCCCTCCGTAGATAAGCCCCTCCAAAAATAAGCCCCTGGGGCTTATTTTCGGAATTTTACGGTAATTTAAAGAGTTTTCAAATTACAGAGTTTTTTAGTATTTTATCATTTACGGTCAAAGCGATTACAGTATTACATTTAGATAAAATTTATCAAAGTGAAGACCACTAGATAGCGTTTATTGTTTGTAGTCACTCCGTTTTTAAGGTGAATATTTTATAATTTGTCACATCACACTCGATAGTTTTAAACATCAACTACTAGTAGAATCTCGACCCCAGAGCTCTTCTGCGCATAATGGCCAGGGAGGGAAGAGCTCGTGGAACCCTAGAACAAGGCTGCCTCTGATTGGTTTCAGTGAAAAAAAGAAACAAATAAACAATAAACGTGTTTCTGAGTGGTCCAATCAAGTTTGCACGAGAGCGCGTGAACGTGTGGCATGTGAGCGGGTTTACCCCTGGAAATCAGTATTGCAGTAAAGAAGACGCCCGGCCGATTCTCGAAGCAACATTTGCACGACTATTTAGGCAGAATAACCGGATTCTCCAATTTTACAATAATACATTAGCTACATATAGAAAACCCTGTGTAGCAGAATGACGATGCCTATCGCTGGTGACGAGCGCTTACTACATAGTATTGAGAAAGTCTCGTACTCGTAGTCGTACTCTTCTTAGAATCTAAGGAGCAAAGAAAGGCTTCATTAAAGGAGAAGCGCTCGGGCTTCTAAGAACTTATTCCTCTCAAATCACTTTTGAGAAAAAATATCAAACATTTCGAAAATTGCCCTGATAGAAATAGGCTACCGTGCCGCTATTGTAAGAAAGTACCTCTCTGAGGTAAAATTTGCCGACAAGAAAACAGCCCCTCAACAGAGAAACAAATCCACCCGTAAAAAAACTATTACCTTTTGTTACACAATACCACTCAGCTTAACCTAGCGTAACGAAAATACTAATGAGGAAATTGCACCTTATACAAAGCCAACAACGGCTAAGATAAATCTTTAAGGAGCCTCCCCTCATATCATATCGCAAAGGAAATCATTGAGGACCTATTAGTTAGAGCGAAGCTCTGAAGGTCAGATGACTTCCTTTACGACCAAGTGCATTAGTCCAGACTTGTGTTGCCTGTATCCTGGTAACCTGAGATGTGTCAAGTTTGATTCCATGCTTTCTCGGTTAAGTCCGACCAAGGGAGTCCCAGGAGACCCAAGGGGATCGTATTGACGTCAAATTCCCCATCCCGCATCCCTTGTCATCACGCAAGTTAAAAAAAGCCTCATATGACCTTCTCATCCACATATCCCTACTCCCACAACATTTCATTTTCTCCTGCGTACCTACCTTTTTAACCCCGATTTCTCCCTCCTCCCTATTCTGTACCTCCTCTCTCTAAGTAGTGTACGCGCGTGAACCAGCGTCATTTTTGGCGGGAAAACGTCAGAGCGGTCGTCATTCTACAGCTGGTTTAGCGAAAATGTCGTAGTGGGGAGAACAAGTTATCAAATAAAAGAAGTTTTATCATTTGGCTATCGGGAGAGGGCTTCACCTCCTTCGGTATAAATAACCGTACTAACTTTTTGGTGAAAAGAAAGTAAAATGAAGCGTTCCGGGGCGTCAGCTATTATTTATTACGCGCAATAATCTCGTACTCATACTTGTTCTCGTCCTGAAATCCAAAGTTCTCTATTATAGTCAAACTGAAGCCCACTGATTTTCTGACCCCCAAAAAACTTACAAAAACCCTAGGCCTATCTCTACAAGCATGAAAATCATGGATTACATTGTGTTCTTTACAAGTGTTTTTGTTTTTTTCAAGCTTACGGACTGAACAGCAACAAAGTTATTCTGCGATTTATTAGAAACACCTGAAAGCCGGAGAGTACTCCCTGCCGGTCACATGTCGACAAAGCCAATTTTCAGTGCTAGAGAACACTTCGGAACCATTTGTGCCAAACTGTTCACATAACAACTGAAAGTCAGCCTCCCATATCTCACTATAAAAAAGTCAGTCAATTCTGTCATTAAAATTTATAACATGGAGGCATCTCAGTAGTCAATAAAGCGTTCGGCAATTTTAATATTGTCATTTTTATTTTTAAATATTTCTTTTTACAATTTGTACAGTGACCATGGATTTTATGTGCGCTGATTTTTAGGCGGGTTACAAGTTTTTAAATTTCTAATATGGCCATTCCAGAAGGTTTATATACGGTTGTGTTCTCTATTGCCTTGAACAAGTTAGTTTGTACATAACGTTAAACATGCCTCAAATATCATTCGACCTCCTTCAATCAACGGATCCACAAGTTTAATGAATAAGCGTCAGATGGATACGCGTGCCAATCTTCAGCGTCGTTTCCAAAGTCATATTCCCCTACTCGCCCTTCACTAAAAGAAGCCTGGTCTGCTTCAGTTATTCCAATCCCGTGATCAGCACGTTCACAGACTTTTCCTCCACCACCAATCATCATTACTGATCCATCGCCATCCCAGTCACACCAGAAACCGATCTTATTGCTGCTTTGAAGCTTGCCAGTGCATCCAGCCTTTTTAAACCCGTCTGTTGTATTGAACTGACCGCCATATTTCACGGTGCAGTTTCCCAGGCACCTGTAACTGGACCAAACCTTGCGATATCTAAAGACGCCGTAACTTGTCATTTTTGATCGAAATGTTTGTCCTCCCAAACAGTTCCCTTTGGTCTGCAACAATGGCGCATGACTGGAGTCATCACTGCGCGTGATCTTAAACTCTCTACCGCTGACCAACCAAAAAGCTGGCGAGATCATGTCAGCATTGACTGACGGATCAGTTGTTGTTCCTTCTGCAACAGTTTGGTCATACCACCAGTGTCCAGTGTCTAGCATCCAGTTCTTTTTGTCGCTATTTGAAAATCTTGCAATAAGAGTCCAAGTGAAGTCACAGTACACCTGCAGAAGAATAATTCTTTTTATTTTTGGAGTTTATAATTTCTTATTTTTTAGGGAGAATTCTTGCGAGCGTTAATGCTCAGGCACATTGGATTAATTCTTAATTTGGGAATTTTTGACAAAGATTGGCTACCTATGCACGCAGAAAATAGATCGCTCAATAAAGTCACGTCTCTTTTGCGAAAAGACTGATACTGAATTTTCTTCCGCTTAACGCCGGGCCTCCAATATCGATAGGCAAATGGACGCCTGTGTGTCAGAACTAGGGAAAGGGGGAAACCGGGCTCGCGAGTACACGGAGAATATTCGAAGGAAGAACGTTTTAGATAGATAGATAGATAGACAGACAGACAGACAGACAGACAGACAGATAGATATTTTATTCACCTTTAAAACTTGCAGCCAAGAGCTGAATTGCGATAAGGTCTTCAAATGCAATAATTTACAACTGTACAAAATTACAACTAATTAAAGCAGTTTACATGCTAATTTAGACTACGAGTAGTCCCCCATTTTTCCTCAGGGATAGTAGAGCGAGCGAAACGTGAGCGGGCGTGAAAATCACCCCACGCATTTTTCTCTCTCCCCGCCGCGTTTCGCCTTCTCTCGCGTAGGGTAATTTTCACGCGCGCTCGCGTTTCGCTCGCTCTACTATCCCTGAGGCAAAATGGGGCACTACTCGTAGTCTACAGCTAATTGAAGAAAGATGATCCAACATAAACTACGATTTTAAAACTGTTACAAAATCGCGAATTCAAAAGCACGCGTCAGGTTCCTATATACAATAAGTAACAAAAGTATATCTAGTTCTCAACTACTGTAAACATAACTTAAAAGAACACTATTCTTGTATCTATCAATTTTACACTAGGACGAATAAATGTTCTTTGTTCTGTCAGAGAGCAGACAGAGTAGCTTGGCTGGTATTTACTTGGAAGTAGTTTGTAGAGACTGTGAGATTGATTAGCACATATTTCATCAAACGACTTTGTCGCAATTGCCCCTCTTCTTTCATACAGTGTTAAAATTCGGACAGCTCTAGAGCCTTATATTAGCATATGATAGCTCAGGCTAAATAATCTTCATAGCGCGTTTTTGCAGTCTTTCTTGGTCTTCGCTTAGATAACTTGGTAGAGCGCGATGAAAACTGGGCTGCCGTACTCCAGAATAGAGCGAAAGCATGTGATATAAAATAGAAGTAGCTCTCTTTAGGCAACCTGCGATTTCTTAAGTTGTCTTAGAAAATATAATCATTTTGAGACCTTTCTAACTAGTTCTGACGCATGAACATTTCAATTAAATCACTGGTAATATTAAGTCCTATAACGATTTCACACTGTTCACATTTTCTAGGGTCTGACGGTTAACACAGATAGGGTCAAATTTCACATTTCCTTTTACTTTGTTTAACTGAAATCCGTCATCACTTGCTTGCGTTGCGAGATCGTCTACCACTTCCTGAACACAACTCTCTTAGCCTTTATCTACCACCTTAGAGATTGTGGTATCATCCACATATTTCCACATATCTGCCTCTCCTGCATTCAAATCGATATCATTAATCACTATTAAGAAGAGCCACGGCCCTAACTTTGTCCCCCGAGGAACACCGGCTGGGATTTAACGCCACTCGGAGAAGCAACCCTGGGCCAGTTTAACCCTCTGCCTCCTATCCAATAGAAAGTCAGCAATCCAGCATAAGATGTGGTTCGGAATATCGTAATGTGAGAGTTTACGCACTAAGATATTGTGATCAATGAGGTCCCCTTGCTTTCCTGTCTCCCACGCGAGTCCTTTGTTCTCGCGCGCCTGAATCGTAATTCCCTCTTCCCCAGTTCAAGAGCCTCTCTCCCTGGCTAAATCAACGAGGAACGTTGAAGGATACTCTCCTGGGCATTTATTTGTGTATAATGGCAAGCCTAGTTGTAATGAACAACGAATTACCAAACAAAAAATAATAAACAAAATGAATAGACACATTGGAATAAATGATGATAAATAAATAAATAAATAAATAAATAAATAAATAAATAATAGACAGAAGTTTCCAACAAACGCTTTCTCCAGTAGGCCGAGTTTGAAATGCGCGCCGTAATCGACCGTCGGTACCATATCGGATAACAAAATGGAGTTTAAGCTCGGCTCACAGGGTAATAACTTTTAAGCTTACCTTAAATTTGTTTGAATCAAAATTTAACTGGTAGATTCCAGGAGATGACACATCTTCGCAAGAACGGCGGTGATGATCTAAACACAAGCAATAAGACCTCACGTTCGAACAGAAGTTTTGAATAATATCTCTATATATTTGAGAACATACAAACTCGTTCTCAGGGCTTTCCCTTACACCATTATATCATTACACCATAATATCCTTTAAACCTTCAAGCAAGCCCTAACAGCGATCAGGGCCCGGCCTCTAGAACGATAGGTAAGAAAATCCAGGGTTTCGCTAGGTCTCAACCAAGTTTTGTTTTTTGTAATGGAAAATGTTATTGACACTAAATTACAAAAAAATGATGCCTTAACTTGTAGAACTTTAATAACAAAAGTTCTTTAGAAAGTTAAATACAACCGTGGATTAGAATTTAATCCTGGTTTAATGCAAAGAAACTTTTCAAAACTCCACCCAGCAGCTCTTTATGTTATGTATCAATGGTCAGTAAGGAATAACTTCACCAAAACAGCTCCAAAGTTGCACAGTGATACCTTCCACTGACAAGTGGTAGCCCTTTCATTTATCTATTAAGAACACTGCATTCGTTTAAATTACTTTTTATAATTAATTTTATGAATAAATCACTAAACCAAAAAGTTTTCTTGTCCTTTTCACTGCCCTTTGCAAGATGAGTCTTTCAGCCGGCTTTTGCGTCCTTTTACGGACCGAAATGAAGGATTTCCCTCCCCTCTTATATACCTGAATGAGTGAATTCCCTAATTTTTCATATACCTGAAGCCTGAAAAAACGTACCCTTTCGGGCCAGGCCTGCTTTCGGGCTTAGCCTCCCCGTATAGGCCATTTAAGGGAGTACCCCCTTCGGGGGAGTTGGAGGTGGAGGGGGGAGGGGTGGGGGTAAGGACTTTTTCACTCACCTGAGCAAGCTTGTTTAATCTCCCTCTCGATTTCATGGAATATTTTTAGAACCCTTTCCCTCTCCCTCCTTATCTCGTCTTCTTCTTTGCTGAGCGGCAGGTAACAAACTTAAAAAACAAAATAGCTTTTATTGTACAAATGGCAATGAAGAGATGCTTTTGTCCAAGAAAATAAGAAATCCACATTAACATCATTGTCAAGATAATCACAACCAAAAATACAATCATGACCGCGATGATCAAATACTAAATCTTAATCTTGCTTAATCAGATCATAATGATCATCGTAATCTTGAATTCAAAATATTTTGCCGATTCCGACTGGCTCCAATCCCTCAACTAAATAATGTTCTTCATAACCAACTGGCGATTGCCATATTTCGAAGATGCGAGCAATATGCTATCGATTCGAGGTTACATTTGATTGAAAACGAGGCTGAGCAATAGTGAACCAAAAAAATAAAAAAAAAATAAAAAAATAGCGTTCACTGCTATCCGAAAACGAAATAGCTGAATTTCTAAAACTGAACGGAAGAAATGCAAGGATACGCAAAACATATTGCTCGATGGATATTATCTCCTTCTTGATTATTTAGTACCAGCAAAAAAAAAATCGGTTCATATCCTGAAACCGTGCCGAGAAATAGGCAAGAGTTAAGTACTTGGAACTGAATCTTTTGCATGAATAATAAAACAGTGAATTCGACTTTCTTATGATGTGAAGATCAGAATTATGCTGATCTCAGAGGCTCGATCTCTCGCCTTGATCTGCAAAATTCTTCACATCATACTTATAAGTCTCATTCAATAATACTTTTTTTGTTAATTATACGGTATTTGAACTTTTCAAACCATTTCATCTGTAATAAACAATAGCAAAATTTAGCCTCTGGCCTCTTCCACAGACACCTCATCTCCTCTTGTCTTCCAAACGATCGTTTGACTAGGACCAGATGACTTTTTTCGCAATTTGGGAGATGGGGTTGATTGTTCCATGATATTCTGTCCAAGATTGTAGTTTGCCATCATTTCAAGTTTTACTTTAAATAAAATATTTAAATTTTTCAGTGGCAAAAATAATTACCTGGATTAGGGTCCTGTGCCATCATCATCATTGGTAATATGATCACGGAAATGAGGATCAGAGTTTTGATAACAGCCATCATCGACGGAAGAAAAATATCTACCAATAAATTTTAAAGGATTGTTTTCAGATAATTTAAATGGGTATAGAATATCTTACGCTAATTTTAATTTACTAAGGAACTGTGCAATTATTAAAATAAATACAAGAAGTTCCCTTAATTACTGTAAAACTAGTGACCTGTATTGAGTGGTCACATCTATTAAGCGGTCGCAGTCACCTTTTTCAAGGCGGTCCCAACAAGTTACTTTGTCTTCACTTCTATTAAGCGATTAGCTTTGTGAAGACGTGCCACGCTAGCCGTGCAACAGATCAGTACTGAGCATGGAACACAGTAGTCTGTTACTCTAGGTCTTTCTTTTGGCGCAAGAAGAAGTTGAAATTAAAGTACACCCTTTGCAGGGGTCACTAGGCCTTGTTGTGTTCTAAGGGTATTTCGCGTCGTAACTATTTTCATTTTCTTGATACACTACTAGATTTGTCAAAATCTGTATTAAGCGGTCAGTTAGCCATTCCACAAGGGTAATCGTTTAATACAGGCTTGTCTGTACACTGAAATGACAAACAGGACTGTATAAAGAATTAAACAAAGTTTGCCTTAGAACGCCGCCTTTATACTCCTTGAAACTAGAATCTGTAACTACAGAGAATTCTCCGAAGTAAGACATGATGTCTCGTTTTTGGGAATTTGTCTTTCTAAAATGAATTAATCTAACGCTAGTCTTCATAACAGCTAACATCATGTGCCTGGAATTAAAGCAATTAAATTTAGATAGTCTTGGGTGAGGGGTAGGGTTGATATTAGGTCCTTCGAAAGAAACAAAAAGTTTATTCATGACTATCTTTTAATACGGAAAAGCAAAAAGTGGAATTGAAAAAAAAAGCATCCTCATGATTTAACCCTAATCGATCAGAATTGTTACTCTACGATTAAAGTAAGACTAAACTTTGTACCGACTCAACTTTCTTTAGAGTTTCACGATACTGCCTTCCAAGTTAATTAAAAACGTTTGAAAATAATCGTCTACTTCAGGCTCGCAACGACGACAGCGGCGGCAACGAGAACGGCAAAATAGCAAACGGTTTAGACAGTAAAGCAAGACAGACTTTGCGCGTGCTTCACGCTTTTTTTGTACACTTCTTTGCTGTCACTGCACTACTTCGACGTGAAAATGCCTAATTTCACGTTTTGTGCAGGACGTGAACACAAGACAACGACTTCCTCTTTCTTTTCCTGAACTACGATACAGTGCTTTAGAAATGAACTCCAGAAAAATTTGCCAACATTTGACGAACTAAAAGAGATAAAAAAGGCTTGATAAAGTTTGAAGCAGCGTGAATTCACTTTTTAAATGCCGTTTTTGTAGCCCATTGCCGTCGTTGCTGCTCCCTTATGACAAGCGTACCTGTAAGAGAGTTCTACTGTTCCTTTTTTTTTCTTGGTAAATGTTCTATACGTGACACTCAAGTTGTCCAGCAAAGGAAATCTTCAACGCGGTCAAAGTTGTTTGCTTGAGTAGTTTTCCTTTCTGTTACCAACTGCCCAAATAAAGATTCAGAGCCGGTCCAGAGTTATAAGGAACAACGAAGCTAATTTGAGAATTGAACTTACATCAACCTAATAAGCTGATGTACGGCGCGATAACTTATTCTCAATCCGGCCCAGATGCTGTGAAATTTAACGCTCGAATGAAATTCAAACTGTTTTAATTCTCAAGTTGTTTAAACATCGCGAAAACGTTTTGTGGAACAGATGCCTTTAATTAACTCTCCCTAACAGAAACAATTTTTTGTGAAGTGATAAGCCACTTAAGGCAAACTTTGAACTTCTTAGAAAGACCGTGAAGGATTTGCAGGTTAACCTGTCTTTTACTCTTTCTTTACTAAGTGGAGATATGTAGTATTCTAATGCAATTAATACTTAACAACGCGAAGGAAGAAGATAAGTACAAAGATAAGGGAATCAAGGATAAGTTTTCAATTCTATACTTTACATGTGTTATGTGGTCGACGTTATATGTTCAGCACCGAAAGAGTCCAAATTAATGTATATTAGTTCGCTATTTAAGTAGGAGCAAGAGCCATAATGGGACAGAGAGGGAAACGCCCAGTCTAGCCCTTGGGATATTTGAATTTCACCAAAGTTATTTTTAGACCAATTAAACGCTGAACAGAATTTGAGTCCTCTTCGGACAAATCATCGCTTATTATTATGGCTCTTGGTAGGAGTGTGCTCGGGGAATATTTTTTTTCTAGCAATCTTCACTCAAAGAAACTCTTGACGTTAAGGATTCTTTGGAAGGGCGCCGCATCTCTTCCTGCCGGGGAAGATAAGAGTTAATTGAATCGTTTCTTATCTTATCTGATTCCTTTTAAGTAAAGCAGATATTTAATATTAATATTTTAATGTTTTTGCTTAATGTGGCCCGAACCTATATATGCGTGTTGGTTATGTTTTTGATTTGCGTTTTTCAGAGTGAAAGTTTCTATGATGTTTGGCATCCTCAATAAACAATCATGGAACTTTAAGAAAATGTTATTTATTTTCTTGTAGGTATAAAAACCTTTGAGAGCCGGAAACTGTCAGCATCAATAAGACGTTAAGACTGGCTATGTTTTAAGAACATTCAAATCGACTGTTTAACTTCACTAGCCTGATGAATTTCTTCAAAAACTTTGAGATATCGGCATATATTTAAAACCGCATTTTTACGAAAAATGTAAATAACTTCGAAATTCCACGACAGATTTTTGCCTAACTTCAGCAAATAAGCCTCATCTGCAAGTTTGAAGGCAACCGTGACCGTAGAACTCGCTGCACAAAATGCTGGTCAAATTTAACCTTAAAATGCTACGCTAAAACATTTGTGAAAGTTGACGCACAAATAGAGGAAGACAGCCGACAGACTATCTACTATCTGAAAGGATATTCCTACCTAAAGTTTTATTGCCAGAAACAGAGTAATCAGAAACCTACGGCGAATACAGTTAGCACTTTAAGAAGAACAACTTTAAGCTGAGTGCGTGGTGATATTAAAGAACTTCTGAGTGTTAATGATATAAATGAAATAAATCATATATGAACTGCGGAAATGAACCGGAAAATGAAGAAATGATCGTCGCAGTACACGCAATTTATGCAATTGCGTGAAGAAGCCTGAAAAAAAGTCCTGAATTTTTTTTCAGGCTTCTTCACGCAATTGCATAAATTGCGTTCACTGCGACGATCATTTCTTCATTTTCATAAAGAACTTCTATTCATCAAACTTACTTTGTATTTGTCCCTCTCTTTTAGAAACAAATCTTAACAAAGCAAAATATAGCTCTTACTGTACGAAAAACTGTCAAGTGCATGTTTTTAGCGTCGCAGGTTCCCGTTTTGAAGAGAAATAAGGCCACCAACTTCAGTTTACTTCTAATTATCCATTTTTCAGCTGCAATGAAAACCCTTGTATTTGGTAATTTATTCACCCTTTTAAGACTTCCCATCACGTTCGCACGAGCAATTTGCTGTTGGGAATAATGAGAAGGATAAGACGATTGTCATATTTGTCTTCATCTTTACAGCTATTTTGAGAAAGGTTGTCGGAAACAAATGTGCACGCGACAATCCCGAAAGGTAATATGGGATATCAACAGTACACTGTTCCTGACTCTGCAGCTGTCAAACCTACTTTTGTTGCTTTTCTTTAGCACTCATTTCCACACATTTCCACGGCCTTTCGTACCAATTCTTTCAAATTTCTTTAAAGAACAGTGAACTTAAAACCACCCACAATGCCTTTCGGGATTGTCGCGTGCACTTTTTCCGACAACCTTTCTCGAAATAGCTGTATACCAAGTGAATAGCAAGTCTCGAGTTACGTCACAAAGAACACAACAACAATCCCTAGCCCTTACACAATAACACCATTCAATAAAAGTAGTCATGCTTCAGGAAAATTAACCCCGTTGGTGCCTTCCCCTGCCTTCCGTATGCCTTCCCTTTATTAATGGAACCAGAGGAGGGAATAAAAACATTGAGGGGGGAAAATTCTCGGCTTGCACTGTCACGCAATGCATGAAAAATAAAAATGCAAACCATTCAATACAGAAGGACTATAATCTGGGAAATGAAAAAAGATAAATGTACAAAAACCCTTGCCAAGAATCAGGTCTGTGAAGTATTTCAAATGCGAGATATTGGGAAAAACGGTTTACCTAAATTTATAAGGCTTTGTGTGGAAACGCCATTTTGGTGTCCCTTTCAGGAACACCAATATGGCCGCCGGATACCAACAGAAACATCTGTTTTCGAGTTCCTACTAATGAGTGAATTCTTCGCTTGAGGAACCCATAAAGATTACAGTAATATTTATTCTGAGACAAGGAGAAAAGGAAGGAAAAATTTTGTGTGATCTTGAGGAAGTGTATGGCCTGGAATGTTTGATCAAAGAACCTACGAGGATCACAGAGAATAGTTCCACTCTGCTAGATGTTATTCTAACAAACCAACCAGAGTTTTTTCGAGGAAGAGGTGTGTACAACCCAGAGATTAGTGATCATCATATGGTCTATGCGTCGCTCAAGGAGAGAGCAGTGCAACACAAGACCAGAATTCTGAGGGTGCGTAGCTATAAGAACTTTAATGAAGAGAAGTTCAAAGAAGATCTGAAAATGGCCCCTTGGCAGGTGGGTGAGAGTTTCGAATCCGTTGATGAACAGTACGAGTATTGGGAGGCATTGCTAAATAAGATCGTTGATGATCATGTACCTACCAGGGACATGAAAGTGAGGGCACATAATGTACCATACATGACGAGAGAGTGGAAAAATGCAATTAAAGCTAAAAAGACGCTTCTCAAAAAAAAATTCAGTAAACATCCCACACCAGAGAATTTTGAATTGAAGAGGAAGTGGCGCAATGAGGCCACCAAGGAAAGAAGAAAAGCAATCAGGCAGTATTGGAAAAAAAGTATCAGATAATGTCAAGTCTGATCCAAGAAAGTTCTACAGAACGTTTAGACCATTCACTGATTTCATGAACAAACAGGGAAGCAGCGGTAATATCTGCTTGAAAGTTAATGATGTGTTGGAAGGGGATCAAACCAAAGTAGCTAACCACTTTGCTAATTTTTTCTCTACAATGGCTGATGGAATTGGGGGACCACGTAAATGACTGTGCGGAAAGTGATTTCATGAATCACAACTCTCTTCTCAATATATCGACTTATCTCAATAAGAGAGATCTACAAGTAAACCACTTTGAATTTAACGAAATTACCTGTGAAGAATTACGAAAAGTCATGAACGACCTAAACCCCAATAAGTCAAGGGGATATGACGGGATGGACCCTAAGATCCTTAAAGTAGGTGCCACTGAGTTAGCTCCATCTCTTACTGTGATTTTTAACCAATCGATTAGAAATGGAGAATGGATAGCAGAGCTTAAGCGCGGAGAATGGATACCGGTACATAAGAAGGATGACAAACAAAGGGATATAAACTATAGACCTATCACGGTGTTGCCATGCGTGAATAAAGTCTATGAAGTATTGCTGGGCCAACAAGTCAGTAAGTTTATGGATGATAGACTCAGTGATGCTATCACTGCCTATCGTGCAAAAGAATAGCTGTGAGACCACGCTGATTAGGCTGACCGAAACATGGAGAGCTGAACTAGACAGCAAGAAAATTGTCGGCATATTGTCTTCGGATATGAGCAAGGCTTTTGACTCTCTGAGCCCTCAGTTGCTCATAAATAAACTGCAAGCCTACAATTTCTCCGATAAAGCCATACAGCTCATACGATCATATTTTCAGGGAAGAAAGAACAGAGTAAGGATAGGTTCTGTAACAAGTGACTGGGTTGTGGTGAAGAGAGGATGTCCACAGGGAAGTACGTTTGGACCACTCATGTGGAATATTTTCCAGAACGATATGCCTAGCATAATATCAGATGCCAATGTCTCGATGTATGCGGATGACCATCAGGTCTTTGTAGCAAACGAAACAACCAAAAGCGTGGAGAAGATACTGGTGGACAATGGGAGAGGATGACTAAATGGTATCAAGATAATCTTTTAAAAGTCAATTGCGATAAATATCAAGCCATGGTTTTGGGAAATCCAAAAGGAGAAAGGAACGTTGATCTGGATATATGTGGCGAAAAAGTCGAACAGTCACAATCCATCAAGATCCTAGGTGTAAACCTAGATGAAAACCTAAACTTTAGAGATCATATACGTAGTGTGTGTAAGAAAGTTGGCGGGATGATCGGAATATTAAGAAGGCTTAAAAATCTTATGCCAGTAAATGCCAAGTTACTTTTGTACAAATCAGCTATTATGCCACACCTTACTTATTGCCACCTAGTGTGGCATTTTTGCACGGCATCTGATTGTCGTAAATTGGAGCGTCTACAAGAAAGAGCCTTAAGATTAGTGTATAATACTACTACCGAAAGTTATGACACCTTGCTGAAAAGAGCTAAGTTGACTACTTTACAAAATAGGAGGTTGCAGGATATACTCATTTTGATGTTTAAAGTAAAAAACAAATTAACAGTGAACCAAATTGCGGATATTTTTAATATCAACGAGGAGAATATTAATAGTAAGAGATATAACCTAAGAAATGCAGATTTTGTCTTACCTCGGTTTAAAACTGTTACTCATGGAAAACATTCTCTCAGATTTCTCGGACCACAATTATGGTCTAAACTAAGCAAGGAGGAGAGAAATATTGCAACTTTGGCAACTTTTAGGACAATGATACGTAAGAAGGATGTAACATCATTTCTTGAGGGATGTGGGAGTGAATGCCGCTTATGCTTAGATTAAGAGGACGTACGCATATTTACTTATTCATTTTAGTGTCCGAGCTAATATACGCATTTAGTTTTTATATTGTAAATTTTCGAACTTAGCTTCGAAGTGTTAAATCTAGAACTTAGTTTTTAGAGTGTAAAAGAGCACTTAGCTTGAATAGTGTCAATTTCCGGCTTTTATAGTACTTAATTAGTTTCTATTAATGATGTAATTTAGTTTTAAAGGTGTCCCCAATTAGTGCCAATAGGCACTAGAGCGACAAGACACTTTAATAAAGGTTATGTATGTATGTAAGGAATGTTTAGATTACAAAATCTCCCAAAATCGGTAATGTTGTTAACCCACATAAGAGCTTTCCCGGCCGCCAGCTAAATGCCGCGTCACGCAAAAGCCTGGAAATTCAAGCGTCCTCTCTCGCAAAACGAAGAACCCTTTCGAACCAAAAATTTGTTTATGCAAAGGTGTTTAGTTACTGTAATACCTGGTGAAAGTAGAAACTCAGAAAAATCGATAGTTTCTTAGTTTGATTTTTGGTGACGTCACGTGCAAACCAAGAATAATAAAATTGAGGAGGAGGAGGAGGAGGGAAAATAATGAAATTGTGGAGGAGGGAATAGCAAAAAAAATTGAGGAGGGAATAAAAAAATTCGAGGAGGGAAATAATAAAATTGTGGAGGAGGAGGAGGGAAATAGAAATGAAAAGGGAGACGGGTAAGTAAAACATTGTGCGCAGTGTAAAAAAAAAGGATGGCTTGCTTTCTTTGACTATTTTAATAGAATCTGTAATCTAATCTTTTTGCAATTATTTCAATAAAGGGTAATAAAGTTGATTTCTTGTGTCTTAAGAAACGTGTCTGGTTTTATTGCTAGCAACTATTAGTTACTTGTTTCAATTGATCCTTGTTAAGTTCTTTCAATACGTCAAGATGCTCCCTTGGGGTTTTTACTGCAGAACTAATTTGTATGCAAATTTTGGGCTTGCGAACTCGTATAATTAACTGACTAACGGTGCGTGAAACGCTGAGACTATAATAGTTTTTCATTTCCTCGAGATAGATAGGAGAAAACCTCAGACAAAATTGAAATAGAGAGTTTTCAGTTCTACTTTGTGTATGTGTTTTGTTTATATTTTCCCGAGTTTTAGCAATAAATAAGATATAGGAAGCCGTTTCTCGCCTTGATAGGTGACCGCTTTCTTATTCCTATTTCTCTTTTAATAGACGTTCAAAGCCGGCTCAAGTTACTGACCGGGCAAGTCTAGGCAAGTCTATTGTGCCTATTGTAGTAGAGAGACCCTCATTAGTAAACCTATACCGAATTAGTATGCAAGAAGACAGTTCTTATACACTTATACATCGAGCATCACCCCAAACTGTTCACATAATAACAACTGAAATTTAGACCACCTTTCATATCTCACTATATAAGAAGACCAAGAGAGCTTTATCCTCTCTTGAAGAGAGTCAGCTAATGTTGATACGTTTAACTGTATAAAATGGAGACATCTCAGAAAAATTGTTAGTCAACGAAGCGTTCTTCAATTTTGATGCTGTTCATGTTTTTGTTAATTTTTTATGTGCGTTGATTTTTAAGCGGACTAATTGTTTTCAAACTAAAATTAAAGCTATAAATTTCATAAGGTTTAAATACAGTTATGCTTATGTTCTCTACTGCCTTGAACAAGAAAGATTGTATATAACGTTAAACATGCCTGCATGAGTTATCATACGACCTCTTTCAATCAACGGATCCACAAGTTTAATGAATAAGCATCAGTTGGATACCCGAACCAATCTTCAGCGTCGTTTCCAAAGTCATATTCCCCTGCCCATCCTTGTGCTTCAAAAGAAGCGTGGTTTGCTTCTGTTATTCCAATCCCGTGATCAGCACGTTCACAGCCTTTTCCTCCAGAACCAATCATCATTACTGATGCATCTTTGCTATAGTGACACCAAAAGCTGATCTTGTTGCTGGTGGCGAGACTGCCATTACACTCAGCCTGTTTAAACCCCTCTGTTGTCTTGTACTGACCGCCATATTTCACGGTGCAGTTTCCCAGGCACCTGTAACTGGACCAAACCTTGCGATATCTGAAGACACCATAACTTGTTATTTTTGATCGAAATGTTTGTCCTCCCAAACAGTTCCCTGTGGTCTGCAATAGTGGCGCATGACTGGAGTCATCACTGCGCGTGATTTTAAACTCTCTACCGCTGACCAACCAAAAAGCTGGCGAGATCATGTCAGCATTGACCGACGGATCAGTTGTTGTTCCTACTCCAACATTTTGGTCATACCACCAGTGTCCATCGTCTCGCATCCAGTTCTTGGTGTCGCGATTTGAAAATCTTGCTATAAGAGTCCAGTGTGAACCTTGGGTTGTGACGTCACAGTATACCTGTGTAAAATTGAGGCAACCAGGTATCAGATCACAGTCAATAGATAAAAAAGCTTTCTGGAATCGAAGTTAATATGAGGTTTTTCCTGTCTAAAGTGAAATGAAAAAAGTACTAATTGCCTGTTTTCAAGGCCAATCAGACCTAGTATTTTTATAAATATATATGGGCGTACGGAGTTGTGGAAAAACAACAAAAAATTGCGAGTATTGCACTTTTAACCTTACCTGAAATTTGTTTGAATTTACTTTTAAGTCATATGTTCCACCTGTTGGGGAATGGTTGGACACGGCAGCTTTGCAGGAATCTTAAAATTGAGGTAAACAACAGCAATTTAACTGGAAGCAGGAAAAATCAATCTGCTCGTTGTTTAACACTAGCTTAAATTTGATGTACTCTTATTTACATAAGAATTTTAACGGTGCTCAGTTAAGTCTTGCCCCATTACGCCACTTCCACATTTCCCGTAATGTACCTTATTTGCCCTCCCCCTCCCAAATTTTGCATAACCTTTGTTTTTCATTTCTCCTGGGTAATACAGCCGTCCCAAGAGGAATTGAAGACAATGCTTGTGCAAAATTTGGGTGTGTTGGGGCGGGGGGATCAAATAAGGTGCATTATGGGAAATGTGAAAGTGGCGTATACAGCTAGTTTCGAGAAAGGTTGTCGGAAAAAATGCACGCGACAATCCAGAAAGGTATTGTGGGTGGTTTTGACTGCACTGTTTTTCAAAGCAATTTGAGTAAATGGTACGAGAGGCCAAGGACATATGTTTGCTAGTGCTAAAGGAAAGCAACTAATGTAGGTTCGATCATATCATATTTTATTTAATCATATCCCATATAACCTTTCGGGATTGTCGCGTGCACATTTTTTCCGACAACCTTTCTCGAAATAGCTGTAAACTAACACTCGCCAGACGCTCCTAGTTATGAACTCCTGTACGTGCCGGTTTTATTTATAAAATATCCGAAAAAAGTCCACAACGACAAACCAAAGAGTGGTGCCGGATCTCCCAGCTGTAGATTAAACTGGTCAGTATAAAATAAGATACGGAGTGTGGACTGCGGACCACGGACTGCGGACTGAGTATAAAAAAACGGACTAGGTACAAAATGCGGACTAGAAACTACGGACTGAGTATAAAACACGGACTAGGTTTAAAAAAGCGGACTACGGAGTGTGTATATAAAAACAGCTTTAGGAAGATGAAACTGAGAGAAACAGATAGCGGATTAGCATAAAACGGTAGTCCCAGCTCCTAATCTTTGCTCACACGCAAATATAATTCTTTTGGCTGGTCATGCAGTCTATTCTCCCCAACGTTGGCGTGGAGAATGAAAGCATAACTGGATCCGGGGAAAGGTTATGCCGCTGCTTAGGGCAACTGAAAATGAAACTCTGAATTTTATAAAAATTAAGTAGAAGTTAGAAGAGAATTCAATTTATAGTTTTACAACAGTATAAGATATGAAACTGAGTACCCTGGGTGCCAGAGGCTTTTCATGCGCGGTTTCCGGTTTCGGTTAAGTCTTAAAAAGTTTGAGAGGCATTGAATAAAAAAGTGTTAGTGAGAGTGACATTCTTATAGATGTCACAATTCCCTTTCAATGGAGATATGAGGAAATAAAGAACCCAGGCGAGAAGGTCAATATAGGGGCAGTCGAAGCAAAAACGCTGTATTTAGTAGGGGGGAGGGTTTACTCACCCATACATCAGATAAGAACCGAAATTAAATATATGATCCAACGTTATATTCTAAGCGATGATGACATGATTTACACCCATGCAAACATGTACATCGCATTTGTGACCCCTGTCATAGATGTTAGAGACCGAGACCTGGTCTAAAAATGAGTGTAAAAGATAGCATTTTGGCCAGGCCGCAGATTTGGAGAACCGGGCGATACGCATCCACCAAGAATTTCTAGGAGCATTTATAACTTAAACTCACGTATTGTGCTGCTTAGCGATCTTTTTAATGTTATTGCCCCCGCAGGGATTTCGCCCAGAGGCGAAATCCCGAGGTGGCACCCTAGTAACCCGCGCGTATATTAAGGACAATACTTACAGTTCAAATATACAGTCAGTATACTAGAAAAAATCTCGATTTGCTCGAACAGGGGCCGTGAGGAATCGGTAGGTAATGATGACGTTTCTATTGTTTGCGCCCGCAAGTACGAAATGGTTAGGATGACGTAAGGACGGAAAATCCCGAAGGGACCGCTCAGGTAGATTTTGTGACATTTATTGTGCAGTCATACTTCGATACTCTTTTGCGTTACGCAGTGACATTCTGTGGAGCAGTTGTTTTGAAAGTTATGAACCAAAAGACACTCGTTAGGCGCAGGGGAGGTTATAAAGTGCGTTTAACTGTGTATATATAAACACTTGGAGAGTTTGCCAGACACGAGTTCACAAATCTTTGATTTATATTGGAAACCTTGCCAAACACTAGGGCTATTTATACGAGGAAAAATAAGACGCAGACGCGTCTTACATAAGACGCGTCTTAAATAAGACGCGAACTTTCCGTATAAACGGCACATTTCGTCTAAAATAAGACGCGGCTTAGCTAAGACGCGTCTTATTGGATAAGCTATGCTCGTATAAATGGTACAGTTCGCGTCTTATTTAAGACGCGTCTTATTTTTCCTCGTATAAATGGCCCTAATCTTTCTCTCTCTTTGACCGGAATAAGACTCAGCCTCAAACAAGCAAGACGATTGAACAACGGCTAGCTTATCCTAGCAGATTGATGGACATTTACAGATATTCGCCGACAATCAAATTCTGTGCTGACTTATTCCCTGCTCACAGATGTTCTTCCGTTATAAAGTTTCAAAAAAGTCTAGAATGCGCTAGCGTGAATCGATCAAACGTCCTTTTAATTTCTTTAGAAGGATTACTTTCCGGCAAATAAAATGAACTGAATGTAAAAAGGGAAAGAGAAATAGCGAAAAATTCAACTTCTAATTAAATCTTTTCTTATGGTTTAGAATAAACTATTCTCGAAACTGAGAATGTTTTGATCAGAGCTGTGTAAATCGAGCTGAAACTGTGCATGGAACCTTGCGTTTCCTGTATTTATCTCACCTATTGCGTGGAATATGTGTGAAAATCTTCATTATGAATCGGTATATTTCAAAGAGCTACACAACCAGCAAGAATACTATTGACCGACAATATAAAGAACGGGGGCAGCTGTAGTGTCAACTATTACTAGTTTTACCTTACCTAGAACCAATTAGCACAGTTTTTGCGAAGGTAGTCCTTAGTCCGCATTCATTTAATACACAAAGGGAACACAATAGGGCCATTTATACGAGGAAAAATAAGACGCGTCTTACATAAGTCGCGTCTTAAATAAGACGCGAACCGTACCATTTATACGAGCATGTCTTATCTAATAAGGCGCGTCTTAGCTAAGCCGCGTCTTATTTTAGACGAAATGTGCCGTTTATGCGGAAAGTTCGCATCTTATTTAAGACGCGTCTTATTTTTCCTCGTATAAATGGCCCTGATATGTCCTCTAGGAATAAATAGACGTGACGAAGTTCACTGGTATACGATACCACGTAGTCTCCTAGTACGAATAACAATCCATTTATTGTCACATTTTCAAATGCTTATTTAGCCTGCGAAAACATCCGGTTCTCCTCGCTCTTCGTTGCTGGGGACGTTTCGCCCGGAGGAACGCGCGAAACGTCCCCAGCGGCGAGGAACGAGGAGAACCGGATGTTTTCGCAGGCCAATTCTTATTTTTAAAGAACTTTTAGTTTTACTTTAATTTTTCTTTTAGCGCCCGAAGATGGTTTGTTTTCAAAGCGAAATATTGGGTTATTTGTTTTATTCAGTTTGCCGTTTCATATTTTATTCTCTCACCATTTTATCGATACCTATAGATTGCTTTCACATGACGTAACGGCGGCCATATTGGTTTCCCAAAACAATGAAACGGCGGCCATGTTGGTGTCCCAAACCAATCCTGTGGGAGTTGAACTCTTTTCTTATGCAAACGCTTTCTTTTGTTCCAATAAATTTGCATGGATGCTGGCCGCGTGAGTGAAAACACTCTATAAAATCAATTACAGTGAAACCTGTATTAAGCGGACACCTTCTATTTCCTTTATTTACTTTAAACGAAATCCTTTATTAAGAGGAAACCTCTATTAAGCGGACGCGGACACCTAAAACGTACCTGAAATGGTCATTTCTATTGTTGCCAACCTGTGTTAAACGGACACTTGTAATTAAATTCCACCACACAACATACCAGACACCGGAAATGCAAAAGATTGCCTACAATAGCCTGCGTGGCAGGCGTTAAAAGGGGGAAAGGGAAGGGGAAGCGGGAATTTGGGCGCGCTCCTCCCTCCTCCCTCGCGCACCGTCTCACGCCCTAATTCCCTTCCCCTTCCCTTTCGAACGCCTGCCACGCAGGCTAAAGATTGCCACCCACAAAGTTTCCGATTTTTTCTAAAAACGTGACTTGACGAAATTATTTGATTAAGTTTCACAGCACAGTATTGTTTTCCGAGATTTCGTTGACACCTCATGTAACGTTATCTATCGAAACCTGTATTAGGCGGACACTACAGCATTTCCCGGGGGCTGTGTCCGCTTAATACAGGTTTCACAGTACAGACCAAAGACTCACTGGACTTTGAAATACCGATAGTGTACTATTCTCGCAAAACACTTGAACCCTACGGATGAACAGACGAGATGCAATTTAATCTATGACATATACTCTCGGGCATATACTTTTATAACAACCACTCTTTATACTGTAACTTTTCGTCTATTGTATTTCTCCACCGATCATATTTTATTTTTATATTCGTATTATTTTATATACTGTTTACTGCAACCATTAATTCTATTCTCACTTAGCTTTTCTAGCCCCTGATGAAGACTAGTT